TTACCTCCATTTCTTTAGGATTCATTGTTAGAGTGATATTAGTTTCTTTTGGAGGATTTATGATTTCCTGAATTTTGGTAACCACTGTGTCATTACATTGGTGTCTGTACATTCCAGGAGAGAGTCACCTCTTTCAGCATTGTGGATGTTCTTTGGCAAAGGTAGACCTTCATTACTCAGTATAGCCTATGAATCTGGATGGATCAGATAGTAATGATATTGGTCAGGCAAAGTTTTCTATTGGGTTCTCTAGTTGGCTGGGCCACTGACTTTTCTGTTAGATTCTGTTGTTTCTGGCTGGGATTCACTGCCCAGTAAGTCTACTTGCTCAGTAGCATCATCAGGTGAAACTGTTGGGCACTGTCATCACCTTTGATTGGTACAAGTTATGGGGTATATTCCTTGGCCATAGATACCACTATTTGAGTTCTGTAACTGGATAAATCTACAGGCTAGGACCCATGGTAGGCAGTCACTTCTCATGAAACAGAAACAGAGGTTGTACATATTTCAAAAGTATATTTGAGGCTTGCTTCCTTTCTTGGTCAGAATCTTGTCACTGTCTCTATGACTGAACAAAAGTGCTATTTATTCACCCATTTGGGGGCAGGTTTAGTTCCTTTGTTCTGCAGAAATGCTCTGTAGCATCCTTCTGCCTAGATAGGGATTTGCTGAGCTTTGAGACTGAGCATAGCTAATGTTTGAACTCCTGAATCAGGAAGAACTAGTTCCTGTGCTTTGGCAAAATGTGCTGTACCAGGTACTTCCCTGCCTGGATGGGGTTATAGAGTGGGCTTTGAGTCTCTATGCTGAACCACTATTTAGACTCCTGGCTTGGTCATTGTTGTCCCTATGCTCTTTATTAATACACTGTGGTGGATATCTGTCTGCCTCAGTGGGACCTGGTGACAAACTTTGAGGTTAAATCAAGTAAAGATTAGACAATTAGGTACCTTTTTCATGGACAAGTAGACCCAAGCAGCTATTAAAGTCACTGTTAAAGAAGATACAACCATCCACTTCCAATATAATATCTATATCTATGTGTGCTTTTAAAGAATGAGGTTAAAACTCGCATTTCATTGTAGACATGAATATAAATGAACCCATATACACCAAAATGCTTTACACATTGATCTGGGAAAGATACTTTCCCTTGTCTAATGAAGAAACACACTGTTCTTTCATATTCACGAAAGAACCTCCATCCTCTTCCAACTGGTCTCAGTCTTTTCTGACTACCCATTTCCATAAAGAACTGAACTCCCTCTAAAATATCTACAGATATCTACAAAGTATTTAATCCAAAGATTCATAGGACAATAAAGCATAGAAATTAACACCCCTATCACTCTCTTGCCCAATCTTCTTGCTTTTCATGTATTCATAGCATTTATAAGTGCTATTAACTGATATATTGAACATTTATTTATTTTGTTTTTTATTTACACCCTTCTAAAATGTACGTTTCCTATCACATTTTGTCTATTTTATTTCCTGCAATAATCTCAGTGCCTATAATAGTGCCTGGAATCCAGCAGGTGGCTCAAGAAACATTTGATTCATTGACATTTTCGAGTGAGAGAAAAAGAGATCATGCTGCTGTCTCTCCCTCTCCAAAGTCATGGGGGGGGGAGAGAGAGAATGAATGAGAATGAATTTCAAAAATTGTCAATAAACATAGTTAGAATTTTTGGCAGAAGACCTAAACTTTTAGTCCTCCAGCCCATTATCTTGTTTGCTTCTTTCCAACACAATAGAAAGAGCCTCTGTGAATTTTCAACATTTAATGTTTCCTGAAAGTGTCATAGGTACAAATACACATGGATTCTGTGTAATATTAAAAGAGAAAATAGTGGACCACTTGCTTAAAGTAAGCCCCTTGGCCCAGACCCCTCTACAGTGTTCCTCTTAACGTTATCCAGGGCTGGGGTTGTGGTTCAGCAGTGGAACGCTCACCTCACACGTGCAAAACCCTGGGTTCGATCCTCAGCACCACATAAAAATAAATAAGTGAAATAAAGGTATTGTGTCCAACTACAGTTAAAAAAATAAATATTAAAAAAAATTATCCATTTGCCAGGTTGACCCCTTTGGCTCCATTTTAACTCCAAAGTAGTCGTCCCACCAGGGTCTGCATGACTTCTACCTGCCTCCCACTAACTTAAAATGTGCACTGAAAGGAAGAGGAACTACCTTAAAAATATAAGCTGATAATTCAGAGGTCTTGCTGACCCCTCACTTCTCCAGCACTAATTAGGTACAGGGGGCAGAGATTTGAGAATAAATAATAACCAGTGGAGCTGCTGGCTAGCCTGGCCTCATCTTGCTATACTGATTTCTCTTGAATAACTCATGATGGGATGGAGGGAGAAAAGAACCTGTTGATGGATTTTATTTAGTTTGTATTTGTTTGTTTTTCTAGTCACTTTCTCATGGGGGAATCTGGCAAAGGAAATGAAAAACAATGTAGTGTTTTGGTCTAAATTTTGGCTAAGGAGGCATTTCCATAAGAAATGAAAAGGTAAGGTTTATTTTTCCTTTATCTTCTGATCCATACTAGAAATGGTTTCACTTCTCACTCTGGATATTAGATAAACAAATAGGTAAGTCCTGATAGAGGGGGTAGCACTCAGTCTCCCTTATGAACCCTCCATTTTTCTCTCTGCCAAAGACCAGGCCACAGCCATTTGTAATATGATCCTTAAACAGATACTTATCATTCAGTTCTAGATTTAACACTGAATGCGCCTAGGCAATTAATCTATTATTATAATAAGCTGTGTTAAAATAGAATCTCACGATTACCAGGGCTTTAAAGGCAATTGACTACCAAAATACTTCCTATGCCCTCCTTACCTAGTAATTGTTCTACCTCTATAGACAGGATGATCATTATCTCACAAGACATGTTCCATTGTTCAACAATTTTACTGTTTAAAAGGAAAAAGAAATTCTTCCTTCTGTTCAGCCAGAATGACTCCCTTTCATATTTACATTTTACCTTATAGTGCCACATAAGATAAGTGTAATTTTACTTTTTCAGGATAGAAACATACTAGAGAGAAAAGTGTCCAAAGTTATGTTCTATCATGATCATCATAATACCCATTCCACAGATATGAAAATTGGGAATGAAAGTGGTTCATTGGAACACACTAACTTGGAAGTAAGGCCAATATATTTCTGGGGATGCATCTACTCATCTTGTAACATTCCAAACAGTCCCACCAGCATATTCTGTAGGGATATGGGAAAAGAGATCACAGCTAATGATTAAACCCTTGGTCTCTTAACTGCCTTCAAAAGGGACTATTTTGGTTCAGAAAAGCTCTGAATTGACTTTATCTAATAAAGTTATATGTCTAATGCATTGGTTGATTGTCAGTGTAATGAAAAAAGAAAGAAAAGGAAAAAGCAGGCAACATGATCTTGAGAAAATAAAACCCATGGTTTTTGAGCAGATACTCTAGGAAGCATAAGTGTTACCAGGTTTTTGTTTTCCTCATTACTTACTCTTCACATATCCATTTGATTAAATCCTGAGAGTGGGTTTAGCACACAGGATCATACAGGAAATAAAAGTAATGTGTGTAATTGGGAATTTTATTCCTTGGTCTCACTTTGGCCTTCATTTTCTGGTTTGGAATAGCCCTCAGTCTGTTTCTAGTTACCTCACTTTATATTGAAAATAAGGTGTCTTGGAAATGATGGTGCCCAAAATATGTTGCCAAAGTAGTAATGATTAACAATTTTAGCAGACATCTGAGATGAAAGAGAAGGAAAAAGATGAAACATCTCTTCACCGCATGTCATTATTATGATAGCCCTGTGAAGAAAGTACCATGGTATTTTAATGATTAAATTTGATGATCATAAGGGAAAAGTGATTTTCCTAAGGTCACTTAGCCAGTGGGGACTGAAGACAGAGTAGGTATAAAAGTAGGTTCTAAGCCTATCATTGCCTTCTCTAACTGCCCACCTGATTGCTAGAGTGTTAAGTGATAAACCTTAATTGAGGTGCTTACCTCAATATCCAGATTGGAAACACTTAACTATGACAATTAATGTTGGTAATGGGGATAGTGGAGTTAGTGATTTTAAATTTTTCAAATTTATATATTCTTTCGATATTGGAAATCCAGTTTTATAGGAAACATTCATAGGTAAGAAAGGATAGACAAATGACAAAGATGGTCTATGATCAATACAAAAGAAATAAATGCTATACTAGTTTCGGGGAAGCATTCCTCCTTCTCTTCCCCAATCCAAACCCTTTGCAAATCAATGGTACTGATAAAGGAGGGATGAAGAGGCATAATCATAGAGACAAATGAAGATCCAGAAAACTTCTCCTCTTATTTTGGTCTCTAGTGAACCAAGAATTTTAAAAAATGAGGGAAAGGACTGTCCTATCCAAGAATGGCTCTTATTCCTCATGGACCCCCACCATTTGCTCCCCCATAATCATAAGTTCATAGGTGAAATTTAAGATAGGCTAAATATAAGCTAGGCTAAAGCACTGACTTGCCACTCTGGTAAGCTAAAACCATTGGTTTTCAAGTCAGATAGCAAGAGCTATGACAATAATCTACTGATATTATTTTGTCATACTTTTGAAGGAAACTATCAGAGATGGCTCTTAGATGGGCCATGGGAAACAACATGTTACTCTTCTTTAAGACACTTTTAATGTAGAAAACCAGGCAGTTGATTTTTGGCTCTCTGCACCTCAAATAATATTTTCTTAATAAGAAGATGCCAATTTTGAGGATCTCTGATAACAAAAAATGACAGATAATTAATTAATCTGAGCACTAAAACTGTTATCACCATTAAGTGCCAAGCAAAAACTCTAGGTAACAAATAGGCATCTCCAAAACCTCTGTCTCTGCATAGCTATGGTAGTTACTATCTGACTCTTGCATTAAATATCTTTTCTAATAGCACCAAGAAAGGAACCTAGAGCTGTTGCATAGATCCAAATCCCCAAAACTCACCATTGACAATCAGTTGTACAGTGATGTTTTTGTAGAGGCCATGCTTGGTATTGCTCAGGGCAAAAGTGTAGTTTCCAGCATACTTTACATTAACTTCCAGGATTTTGAGTCTGTAGTTTAGAGGGTCCAGCTGGAAGGTATGGTTTACTGGGAGTGGTTTTCCATCTTTGAACCTATAACGCATGAGAAAGGAATGATAAATACAGTGTTGGCCTCTAGGAAATACAACCCTCTCCCCATAGGCTTATGCTTCATCATGGTCAACAAAGAGAATCAGAGCAATGGAACCCATTTCATCAAATTTCCTGGCTGTTGCTGGGCATGGTGACACATGCCTGTAATCCCAGTGGCTTGGGAAGCTGAGCAGGAAGATTGTGAGTTCAAAGCCAGCCTCAGAAACTCAGAAAGGCCCTAAGCAAATTAGTGAGATCCTGCATAAAAACAAACAAACAAAGAACAACAACAACAACAACAACAAAATATATATGTGTGTGTGTGTGTATACATGGCTGAGGATGGCTGAGGATGTAGCTCAGTTGTTAATTACCCCTTGGTTCAATTGGCTGTACCAAAAAAGTAAAAAAATTCTGGCTGGAGCATCTTAGTACAGTCACACTGGAAGTAAAAGATTAAAACTATCTCTTTCCTTTCTCCTAATGGTTAAATCTTTGGAAAGTATTCCCACACATGCATCGTATATTTCCATTTCCTCACTTCTCATCAATTCCTTTATGTTGTAAAATCAAATTTTCCTCCACATCATCATTTTGAAATCTTCTTTTCCAAGATTCCCATCAATGCCCTAAATATCAAAGCAAGTGACCATTTTGCATTAATGACCTTCAGATTTCCTGGGATATCTGACCTCAGGGACCAAGTTTTTCTCTCTTAGCCTATTTTTTTTTTCTTTTTCTTTTTTTTTTAATGGAATGCTTCATGAACTTGTATGTTATCCCTGTGCAGGGGCCATGCTAATATCTGTATCATTCCAATTTTAGTATATATGCTACTGAAGTGAGAACTCTCTTAGCCTCTTGAAACTGTTCTAATCATTATTTCTCTCTTCTTCACTGACTTGTCTTTTGTTTACTTTCTCTTTTAATATATGTGTTTCCTGTAAACACTTAAAATACTTAAGCAAACAGATGAGAGAGAGAGAGAGAGAGAGGAGAGAGAGAGAGAGAGAGAGAGAGAGAGAGAGAGAGAGAGAGGGAACTGAGATATTTAGATCAGAACCTACAGGTTCTGCTAATAATCTGGATTTAAGGTGCTGTGAAAATATTTTTCAGTAATTAATAGTAGGAGCATAATAAATGCTTTTAATTGCCCTTAAGTATATATGTGTTTATGTATGGATAGATACATAGATAAAGAATACTTTGTATTGTGTCTTGGGCTCTTATCTCTGGGTATTCTGCCTACATGTATTCATTTAACACCTGCTGATGACTCTCAGTTTACCTCTCTAGAACCTAGCTCTAGACCCATATTTCAAAATGTTCCTGGAGGAAATTCTCTAAATGAATTTATCATGGTGTTCCTCTCCTACACCCTCACGCTAGCTTTTCATCCAAATGAAGCACAGGTTGTTAATAATACAACCACTCTTACATTTCAAATGTGAAACCTATGAATTACCTCAGATCTCTGGGCTTAGCTTCACATATCTAACTGGATACTAAACCCTGAGTATTCTGCCTCTTCAATTTTCCCCAATTTCATTCATTCTTATATTCCCATTTCCTCCTGCTTATTCATGTCCGCAGCATGTCTCACATAACTCTTGTCATAAGCCCCTATAGCAGTAGCTATTTCTCTTAGCCTTTCTCCATTACCATTGTAAATTCATAAATCCATATTAATCTTTCAATGCTTAGCTTCAAATCTATCCCTCCTTACTTCATAACTTTGATGGTTCTCCACTGCCTACTAAAGTAAGCAATAAAAAAGTACAATATTTATTTTTCTTGTTAAACGTCAGAACTGTTGTGTAATGTAAGTATAATCACTCAGATTTTATATATGAAGAAACTGAAGCTTGGAGAGTTTATGTAATATTCCTGGTAGCTTGAAAAAGAATTAATTACATGTCTGCCTCATGGAAATTCCCATATTGTTTCCACCTCACCATTTCTTACCCTGATATTCAAGGATCTGTACTAGGCTGGGCAAGACCATCTTTAAAAGTCCTTCAAAACCTAAAGATTCTGTAATCCCATAATGACCTTGGCAATTTTTCCAGACTTGTTCCCTCCTTTACTTTCAAAGAGCAAAACTCATTTTCCCAAACATAGGGGATATAAAGAGTAGGAGAAGAAAATAATCAAAGAAACCCACCTCTTCTTGGGAACAAGGAGATAAGCCCCAGTTTCTGAAATTGGGAGTGCCCCAAAGGGTAGGGTTAGGATTAATTTATTTTCCAGATTTAATGTATTCCTGAGTTCCCAATGCCAAATTAAGGGTCTGGTGGAAGGAGTGATTGTTAAGGGTGAGGTTTAGCAGACACAGGAATGGAGAGCCTTAGAAAAGAAGGCCCACTTACCAGGTCACATTGGGGCGAGGGAAAGCATCCACTCTTACTCCTATTTTGAGCATCCTTTGCCCAGCTGTCACCTCATAAATGCACCTTCTTTTGCATCTCACATTGAGGAATGATTTTTCTGGAATCAGAAGAGGTATGGTATCAGAGGGATAAAGTAAAACTAAATCTTAACTTTGTTTACTCTTCCTATGAGCAGCCATATTTTTCCAAACCTCAGGGAATAAAATTTGAACTGACAAATGTTGTTGTTTATTAATAAGGACTGGCATTTTAGGTGGGACAATTCTTTGTTGTGAAATACTATGTCTCACTCTATCCCATCAATGCCAGTAGTGATCACCAGTCATTTTGACAAACAAAACATGACCCCTTATATTTCCAATGCCTCCAAGTATAGTACTGCTCCCAAATTGAGAATCATATAATCATGTTGGCCTTTTCCCTTGTGAGATGATTATTTAGACATGTGCAATAAATGATTTCTGACCAATGAGGCAAGAGGGCAAATTAGCTAGGGAATCTCTAGGAAAAGTTTCACAGATTCTTAAAAAGGAACGGAAGTCATCAATTTCCTTCTTTTCCCTGCCTTTAGACACTATCATTGGTATATATTTTCTGAAACTTCAGCAACATGCAGGGTACATTGAAGATAATGAAAGTGGCAGAGTAAAATAATGGAAGGAACCTTGCTTCAGTAGGACATTCATGATCCACTGAATCAAGCATCTGAAGACTCTATTATATAAGATAAATGTCTCTTGATTGTTAAACTACTTTTAATCAGGTAGTTTGCAGCTGAAGACATCCCAGTTTACTAAAGTGGACAAATGGAATCCAAAGCCTGATAAACATAAAGAAAATTATCTTACAAACTCAGCTGTAGGGGTTTAACTGAGCTATAGTGGTTAAATTTTTTACTATAGAATAAACTCAGAATGTGACTGTATTTGAATTTGTAAGCATTTGTGTGTAGACAAATATTAGTATTTGTAGGTGAGAATTTTTGTTTGTTGTGGTGCTGGACATTGAACCCATGGCTTATGAATGATAAAATACAGCATACCATTGGGCTGCATGCCCCCCAGGCTCCAATAATTGAGGATTTTGTTCATACCTTCAAATAAGTATTGGAATCTGTGTGTGTGCATTCCAAATAATATTTTTCTGTATAAATGTACTGGGATGAATATAGCTATTGTTTTGTTTTGTGAGAGAATGTATTATGTACATATATATTTATTAATCACCACTCCATGAACACAAGGTAATTGGGTTAAATAGAGGTTCACTTAATAATTCTTTCTGCTATTCAATTTTTAGCCACATAGATATCAGTAAAAAGAAAAATCAAAGGGAACCCTTAAACATCATTTTAGAGATAGAAAAATTAAACCTAGGGAGGCATAGTAATTATTTTCAAGATCACACATCAAAATAGAAAAGAATATTCAAGACTCTTTATTCTCTATTTGGGACTAAGTACTAGCTAGACAAAAGATAGAAAAACATGTAAGTTATATCACAATATTTTGCAGTATATGTTCCCTGTGACAGGGTAAAGGGACAGATTTCATATAAGCCCTGAAACAGAGGGCTGTAAGCTGGAGAAACCATAACAATGGAAGAGAAAATGCAGGTATTTCTGAATGATTCACCATGTATAGGGGAGAAGAGTAGAATCAAGAGAAAAGTCAAGAATGCAAGGTTTACTTACTGTATACTGTGATGGTAATGTTGGCTTGCAGGGCAGTGTTGTTATTTTCCTGGCAAATATATAAACCCTTGTCTTCCATGGTTATATTCCAGATGGTCAAATTACTATAGCTTTTGTACACAGGGGACCCTTGGTACAAATTCCTTTTAACTTCACAACACCTGGGTGTTGTCTTAGACTGTGGGATGGGAAAGGATGAAAATTTCAATCAAGAGTATTGAGTATTTCTAGATGTTTAAACTATTACAGGGTTTGGGAAGGAAGCCAGAGAAATTAATATAAGGAACTTGTACTTTGCCTACACTTCTGAAAATCATATATATATATATATATCCACAATATGGTATAGAATAAAATATCAGTCCCTATAAAACATGTTTCTTGAAATTCACATACTACTTATTATTCAGCTTTGTTGATCTGCTAGCACTTAGCCTGGTTCTTGTCCAAGACTAGACTAATTCAGGGAGAGACAGTATGGATAAATACTCTAACATTCTGAAGGAAAGATAGTATACTCACATCTTGCCGGTTGAATACCCAATCCAGTTTGATTCGTCCATTGAATGTGGTCTCTGCCACACACTGCAGGAAAAGGGTGTCTCCCATCAAAAGCCTCTTCTGGTTATATCTGATAGAGATATTTCCTCTCTTGATTTCTAGAAAATAGAGGATATGCCATAATGGTGTTGACAAAACCAGGGGAAAAAGTCTTGATTATAGAGTAGCTCTTAAAAATTTTCAATCCTTCAACCCTTTCTTAGGTGAAAACTGTAGATGCAAAATCATACCACAAGGTCCCATGGTTTAGAAAAGACCAAATACGATTTTATATAAAATATTGCAAGATACTTGGTAGTGGTGGCAAAGGTAATTACTAGTATTTTTTTTCACTGAGCAGCTTCTATAATCCTTAGAAAATTTTTATCTCCAATTTTCAAGCTTCCCCATCAGAAAGTTTTATTTCTCCTACTTATCTAAAGTCATAATGCCCTTTGGTGGCTCATTCTGCATATTTATGTGTTCTCTGAGCAACAGGTCATCCTTGTTAATGGCCCATATCCACATTAATCAAGTAAGCAATAACATAAAATTCCAAGGTGCCTGTTATTTAGCCACAACATGCACCATTATTTCATGGTTTTGCAAGGAAAACCCTGTAAAAGGTAAATATTTATTATAGACATTGCCACCAGAGAAATGGTCTGATATTTATGAGTCATATAAGATTGCAGAAGTTAATCTGGGCTTTATCTATCTATCTATCTATTTATCTATCTATCTATCTGGGTTTTACCTACATATATAGCTATATATCTATCTACTCACATATCTATCTATCTAGATAGATAGATAGATAAGTATATATTTGTATAATATATGTATATGTATATATGTATACATCCAATATATATTATGTAATATACATATTAAAATAAGACCCTATGATCTTTTTTTAAATATCTATTTTTTAGTTGTAGTTGGACACAACACCTTTATTTTATTTTATTTATTTTTATGTGGTGCTGAGAATTGAAGTAGCCTTGCACATGCTAGGCGAGCACTCCACCAGTGAGCTACAACCCCAGCCCCAAGACCCTAGGATCTTGATTATCATGATTATTAATCTATACAAAAGAAAATTTAGCTGGAGTAAGTTTTATTCAAAAAGGAGGTATTCTCACAAAGCATTATGATTATAATTCCTAATCTAAACACACAAGTCACATACCCAATCGCTGTGGGAGATACAGTGACCTGTGGATCTTTCCATTGACTTCAGCAATGCATTGGAGCATACTACTGTAGAACTGATAAGAGGGCCGCATCACAGTAAAGCCTTTCCTGGGGTCCCAGTTTTGGCTTGCATAGGTGAATGTGGCAGGGTGCAACTATGGGGAATGAAAGGAAAACAGAAAGACAAAAATGTGAAGATCTCACTAGTATTCAGTGTAACACACATGCCATCTAACCTTAAACACAGAAGAAAAGTGGTCTGTCTTCCCACTTTCCTACCCAAGCTTTCCAAGGTCTGATCCCATGCCCTATAATGAATCCTTTGTTTTCCTCTTACAAAATTAACACATTTCTGGTCAGAGTAGATACTTGACAAACAAAAAAGGAAACCAGTGAACATTTACATAGCACTTACTATTTTTCAAACAAAATATTAGCTCATGTAATTCTCACAAAAAGGTTATGATGTTGCCCCATTTCACAGATGCAGTTCAGAGTAGATACCTTGCCCAATTGATGTTTTGTTATTGCATTGAATATCAAGACTTAGGTCTCTTCTATTGGAGAAGTTTAAAACCAAAATGCCCATTCAGTCTTCTTTTAAAGATAAAAGAACACCAGCTGTCAGTTTCCCAGGTTGCACTTCTACCTATCAAGACGCCCGATATTTATTGATATTCTGTTATGGGCATCCACTTTTGCCTCAGCTATGAACAAGTGCAAAAGACTTCACCATAAGTCTATAAGAAGTTGATTATAAGAAGTCTATGCCTAATATTTTCATTAGTTAAATAAATCGTATTTAATATTTAATCAAGTATATGTTCTGTGTCAAGTACTGTGCCAAGTAATAAGGACCTAGCTTCAAATAGCACAGACTGAATGCCCACTCTCAGCTAGTGTATGTCTAAACAGGCTTGGATTACTAAATTGTATCATTTGTAAATATGAAAATAATACATACTAATTGTGAACATTTTTCAAAAATACTGAAGAAAGTAAAGAAGAAAATAATACTAACCTATAACCCAGAAATAGCTAGGAAACAAATGAAGCATATGTACTTACATTCTCTTTTCTATGTATGTATGCATTTTCACATAGTCACACTCTATAAACACAATTTTAATCCTGTGTTTTCCTACTTAACATTATATTAATTAGTATATTCTCATATAACTAAAATTTTTCATTAAATATAAAATTTAATGGCAATATGACATCAAAGGAGTATGATCAAAATCATGAAATCTCTGGAAGTCTTGTGATACAAGGAATAGTTGAAGAAAAAGGAAGATTTTAGCCTGAGAAACTAAAACACTTGAGGAAAGAATATGGTTTGTAGGATTGATGTTTGGATTAGAGAAAGGGGTCAGAATAAGTTTAATTTTTTTCCTAGTATATGAAGAGCTATTATTTGGGAACTTGGACTTTTGAGTATAACTTCAGAAGGTAAAATGTGAACTGATGAGTAAAAATGTCTGAGATGCATGTGTTGGCTTAATAAAAAGATGGTAAACTCTGTCACTGAAATAATTCAAATAGGTGGGATAACTATTTGTCCAGGAGGCAATAAAGAAATTTTGTGTCATATAGGAAATCTCTTTGAACTCTGAGTTTCTGTTTCATAGACTATTGATTTAGTTTTCTTATTCTTCCTAATATGTATATACTCAGAAACTTCTTTTCCTTAACTCTACAATAGGATCATTAAGCTTTACCTAATAACACAAAAATTAAGGTATAAAATATACTATATTTCTTTTTAGTTTAATTGTAAACAATTAAATTTGAAATTTATTCTTTATTAACTCTTTTTCTATCTTTTCACATTTTTAATGGCTATGATTGGGTCAAATTTGAATTAATTACAATTAGTCACACCAAGTACGCCTTGCTTCCTTTTTTTCTCTTTATTGTGTACATTCTTTTATGTTTCCTTTTTGTTGGGGGGGGTGATACTAGGGATTGAACTCATGGTCACTTGACCACTGAGCCACATCCCCAGCCCTATTTTGTATTTTATTTAGAGACAGGGTCTCACTGAGTTGCTCAGTGCCTCACCATTGCTGGGGCTGGCTTTTAACCCTTGATCTTCCTGTCTCAGCCTCTCGAGCCACTGGAATTACAGGCATATCTTTCTTTTTAGCAATATTATAATTATTATTCTATACTGATTGTACAAATTAGTGGGTTTTATTTTAGCATTTTTGCACATGCATATATTATGATTTTTAGCAACTTTTAAGTCAAATTTCAAATGTTTAAAAATATTTTTAAAACTACTTTTCAACAAAATCTATTGGGCCCCTTTGAGAATTCCTCAGCACTTTCATCATAATCTAACTGTCTTTTACTACCCAGTTGCTAGGTCCTCAAAGAACCCGGCAACAGAAATAGCATGAACTAAGGAAACTGCAAACAACACATGGAGACGAAAATACAAAATGGCTGAGAAAATAGTTAAAAATCAGTAATGGAGGAGACCCCCAAACCTGGAGTATTTTGCATGCTTCTACAGCAATTTAGAGTTTCAGAGATGTACAAAAAAAATCAGAGTTAAAAGGAATAACTCTGTGTCCTTATTGTTGTACAACACTGAGGCTTCTCTCAGTGGTAAAAAGTTACTCATTCACTTAATTAAGCCTACAGACCAGTGCATCTCAATGAGAGGGAGTAGGTTCTCCTTACAGGAATTTGGCAATATTTGGAGACATTTTTGGTTGGTGAAACTGAAGGAAGTTGCCATTAGTATCTAGTGGGTAGAAGTAAGGGAAACTAATAAACATCCCTGAATGCACAGGATGCCCCCAGGCAACAAAGAATTATCTGATCCTGAATGTCAACTGAACTGAGGTCAAAAAAGTCTTATTGGATTCTACTTCCAAAATCTCTATTCTGCCACTTCCCTTCTCTGCTCTCCTAAATTAGATCATCATCTACAGTAGACGCTTGGCATTTTGGTTGCATGTGATAGGATCTTCCCCTCGTTATTGTCTTTATTCCTTCTTATAATGTGGCCCACCATCCTCATCCTCACTCCAGAACTATGTACTTTGTGTGGCATATGCATACCATTCCTGCCTCTCTGACCACAGTGAATAGAGTAAAATTAGGGATTAGATTCTAATTAGAGTAACCAGAACCATCTTTGGGATTATTTTCTAACTTGGGTACAGATAGGGAATACTTCTCAGCTTATCTCTAAGAAGAAAGATATAATGAAATATAGGTTAATACATATAATTTGTGAAAACAGATCTGTGATATTAGAGAAAGGAGCTTCAGGTGAATACACTAAACTATATTCTACCCCTTGAAATGCATTTTGCATTTTGCCTAAGCCAATTTGTGTGCGTTAGGATTTGATTAAATTTCTGTCATACTTAATCAATAATCCTGAATACTGCTTCATTTTTTCATACTACTTTTTGTGTTCCTTACCAAATTCTTCACTTAATGTGCTTCTACTTGTCATAAGCTCTTCAGTTAAAACTGCCCTAGGCAGTCATTCCCTTTCTCCTTGGCATGCCTATTTTCTCTAGTACATACAGGCCTGGCATTGGGAACTTTCCGTGGTTCTCCTATGGCAATAGATTGCCCAAAGCACATGACCTTTCCCTCTGCTCTGCTATGAAGGTTCCTCATAGTAGCTCCAGAGATGGGTATAACCCATTAGAAACTGAACAGGCTACCTTTAATCTTTTTTGGAGAAGAACATTCTATGGAAGGCCTTTGATATGTCCTGATATAAACAAAGCAGGTATGGGCTCTATTTTGCCAGGAGCTCAATCTATCTCATAAGCTTGCCCATTCTGTCCCCAATTTTGAAACTACTTTCTGTGTTCTATGGTTTTTTCTTAGTTTTATTTATCTTCGTTTTTTTTTTTGGGGGGGGTGGAAGGGTACCAGGGATTGAAATCAGGGACATTCCACCTCTAAGCCCATCCCTAGTCCTATTTTGTATTTTATTTAGAGACAGGGTCCTTCTGAGTTGCTTAGCGACTCACCATTGCTAAGGCTGGCTTTGAACTCACGATCCTCCTGCTTCAGCCTCTTGAGCCTCTAGGATTACAGGTGTGAACCACTGCTCCAGGCTCTCTTAGCTTTTATTTCTCAGCCAACCCATTATATCAAGGGAAACCCCATTTCTACCACCCATGGGGGGCATGGGCGGGAGATCAATATGTTGGACTAAATCAAATTGCATTGAATTCTACCTAAAAATAAGTTGTTTTCCTCTTCTATAAAGTTAACTTTAGTTAATCAATTAGTATAGGGAAAACACCCTGTATACACTGTTGGTTTGCTTACTTTTGTTGGAGTTATACTTCAGGAGAAAGGGAACCCTTCAAGCTAGGGATATGGCTCAGTGGTAGAGCACTTATATAGCATATGTATGGCCATGAATTTCATCTCCAGCACTGCAAGGGACAAGGGGGATATTTCTCCCTCCTTCACCTACTGAATAACACTGACACCTAGCAATGAGATGGTAAAAACAAAAATGCAAAACAGCAAAACCAATGTTCCTTGAATAACACTGGTTGTTAGAAGTTCCCAGGGAAGAGTGAGCCGAAGGCCTGAACTGGCTGCTTAGAGAATGAAAGACTTCAATGTGATCATGGGAATTGTGACATTGAGTATACAATGGCCTGCCAAATGACCATATGTAGATTATGTATTTTAGATCAGGGAATGTGAAATACATAACCAATACATCAAACATCAGCTCTAATGATCATAATTAAACTGGTATTTTTCACCTGTACTACCTATTGCATTGTATAAAGTATAAATTCACATCTATTCTCTTAACAAATAATCAAAAATTATTATCCAACTTGAACTCCAGGTTTCCTCTTTCATAGCTCAGAATTCTTCTTTGTGGGCTCACAGAATCTGACAGATATTCCTCAATTTCACAGTAGCCAAGCTTTAGGCTGAATGTGTTATTCAGTGGTTTGGGATAGATTCTTTAGCCAGTAGTTCCTTAAATGCCAGTATCATGTTAAATGTTTTTCCCCTAAATACAATAGTATCGTAATAAGCTAACTTGAATTATGGGGACTTTTGATGAGTTATAAAGAAAGTGGTATATTATGGTTCCTGTCTAGGAATCCCCTTTGGATAGAAGGGGGAGATTTCTAGATCCCCTGAAGTTGATTGATCTTAATAAATCTTAGGGGAGATGATAGGTAAGGCCTTAGAAAAGCAAATTCTGGCAGGGCTGGGGTTGTAGCTCAGTGGTAGAGTGCTCACCTAGCATGCATGAGGCACTGGGTTCGATCCTCAGCACCACATAAAAATAAAATAAAGAGGAGTAAATGAAGGTAAAATAAGATTTTTTTTTAAAAAAAGCAAATTCTGGCTATACCTCTACTAATATTCCCAGACAGCTCATGTTATGGAGGTGAACCCATTGTTTAGTATGGTTTAATTTTAGAAAAGGAGACTTGGAATTAGGTCAGTCACTTCCCTATTCCATGCTTCCTTTTGGCATAGGACAGAGACACAGTGGCGCCAAGTCTCGTCAAACATTTGTTTGAAGGGAAAAAAGGAAGCTTGGTGAGTGGACCAGGTCATTCTCCCTGTATATTAGGTGGAGCGAGGATGAGGAAGCCATCCAAGCACGTAGACTCTATCACAAACCCTGTCTTTCCCTCTCCACCCTTCCTGATGGAACACTAACTCCTTCTGGACTGTGTCCTAAAGACATGGGACATCTTCTTTTCCCTTTAGAAAAAGCTAATAGAAAGTCCCAGGGAAGTGTTAGAGGAGCACATGAACTGGGTACTCACAGGAGAAAGGACTTAATTGTGATGATAGAGACTGCTATACTGAGCATATAATGACCTGCTAATGACGTTAGGGACAGATAGGACTTGGAAGAGGAGTACTAACCAATCAAGATAGTGTGCAGTCTACAGGAAGTACCTAATAGACTCCCAAGATTTTATAGAGCCTGTTAAAGTACCTTATTCCCACAAGCTTCATTAGCACCCCATTTATCATATCAGCTGGTGCTGCAAATACACAATGTCCTGGCTACCCAACTCTTAGCCTTCACAGATATATTGCAGTGAAGGGGGATTAGGGAAAATCTTGACTCTCCTTATATGGCAGGAGAGTAAGAAGATCATTGCATGCTACTGTTGGAGGCTCATAGCTTTGTTATTACAGAGAAGTTAGAAGAACCTAGTAGCAGAAGAAGAATGTATCCAGTAGAGGAGTAGATGTATATGCCTGCCCTGAAGGAGACCACGAAGACAATACCTGGACAAGGAATAAAGATATCCAATTTTTACTTTTGGCTATGACCTTCTAAAATATGGACTTTGAGCAAGTTCTTTCTTTTTTCTAGGCCAAGGGTCCCTCATATGTAAAATTGAAATAATAAAGCAAGCTCCATTTATCTCAAAGGGTAGCTAACTGAGCAGCTCAAAGAAGATGAAATACATAAATGTGTTTTTAAAATTGTAGCAGTGTTATGCAACTATGAATGCTGAGAACTTCAGGAATGTTAAGGTGATCCATCAGGGATAAAATACCCCATTCATAACCAATATTGATTTGACTGATGAAGCTACATCTCTAAGTTACCCCTTCGTCTCTTGTACTCCTCATGTGTCCCACACCAAATTTTCCAGTATTTTCTTTCTGTTTAAGAAAGACATGTATTTACTCAGACAATAAAATTTTAGCTTTACTTCTTGTTTATAAAAAACTCCATGAAGGAGTTGGAGTTGTGGCTCAGAAGAATAGCACTCGCGTAGCATGTGTGAGAAATTGGGTTCAATTTTTAGAACTACACACAAATACTCAAACCTTAGAGCTCTGGACAAACTTTATATGAAGTTTTCACAGGTCCTTAGACATCTAGAGTTAATCAAATTCAAGAAAGAAACACATTTCTTCTAGAAAATGGTTCTGGCTTCTGGGAAGGGGAGACCTTTCTAGAATGGCCTAAAATATAGACTGAGTACAATAGATGATTACTCAGGAGCATCATAGTAACTATTTACTTCCCTCTAGTTTGTGCAATCCTCTTGTGAAAGCACTAATTCAAGGCAAAATAGTAGCATATCTATTTTTTATGTTCCACTCCTAAAAGGTAGACATGACACAGTTAGGGCCAGTACTAAACATGAAAATTAAAAATTCTCCCCAAGTATCTTTATACTTCCTACACTAGAAAGTGGCAAGCCCCTGAGACCCTGACAATGCAACTTACCAGTTGAAGCTTAACATCAACATCAGGGGAAGTGACCCGGCACGGTACAAGTATCTCTTCAGTGTCAGTAAACACAGTGATAACAAGAGGTATATTGTCGTAGGCCTGCACAAAGGTCTGGTTGTCATCTGCAGGGGTGAGAAATCATACTACAAATGGAATTGTCATCAGGATAAGATTTCCTAGGTTCCTTGTATATAAATTTCATTATAACTACTTTTTTTCTATATGGGGGAAAAAGGCTTAGAATATTAAAAGAACTCAGTAAAGAACACAGCCAAAACTTGAACTGAGATCTTGCACCTCCCATCCAAGATTTTCTGCACAAAGGCCAGGAAAGAATACAAGTCTACTCATAAAGATCTAAGAGAAAACCATTATAGTGGTCTTAATTTCAATCTATTGGGCTACTTGGAAGAAGTAAAATCTCTCATCTACCTCATGGGCCTTCTGGCATATATCTAAAATTCCTAATTCTTTTCCATGTGAAGTGTTTTAAAGTCATATGGGTTCTCTGGCACTTGAGCCAAAATGCATAGTAATTAATAGATTAGGCATATGATGTTTATCTGGAAAAGATAATAATTTATTTAAATATTTTGTGCCAAGTAAAATTATTATTAATCTTTAATAAATGAAGATGTATTAAAATGAGCATGAATGTGCTCATTTCACCCACTTTGCCTTCCCATAGGACTCAGACTCAGTTTGAGTGGGTACACACTCTGTAAGTATTTCTCATGTGGTAAAAAAATATAATGTCGATATGAGAACATATGATACTTCAAAAAAATGAGCCTTCAGCCATGGATCTTAAAAAAATGGTTTTGGTTGCCTGTATTCCTACCATTTCAGTTTTACCCCTGTAGATGGACCTGATATGAGGCATTTTTATTCTGTACTAAATCATTCCTTAAGATGTCCTTGAAAGTATTTTATAAATAGAAAATTTTGCAAAAGACAAATTAAAGATTTCCTTATTTTTGACAGAAAGGACTTATTTCCACAATATAAAGATTCTTTATGGCATACCCAGAGTCAAAATCATAATGGATGGATAAAAAATAAGTCATTTCCTCCAACATCAATAACAAAATAATTGTGTCCACCCTAACCACTAGAGTGGCTAGGTAGTAGATTGCTAGCCAGAGCTACCAAGCAAGAGAAAGAAATTAAAGGAACACAAAATAGGAAAAGAAGAGGACAAGTTGTCTCTGTTTGCTGATAATAAGACCTACGAAGATGGAAAGACCTCCCATACTCTTGGGTAGACTGAATTTGGTGAAAATGGCCATATTACCAAAAGTAATACATAGACTCAATGCAATCTGCATCAAAATACCAATGGCATTTTTCCCACAACTAGAAAAATTAGTCCAAAAATTCTTATTTAGGAATAAAAGACCAAAAACAGACAAAGCAATACTGGGCAATAACAGTGTTCCTGTTGGTACCACAATACCTGATCTCAAATTATACTACAGAGATATAGTAACAAAACCAGCATAGCATTAGCATAGAAATAGGCATGAAGAACAATGAAATAGAAGACACAGAGACAAATCCACATAGAAAGAGTTGTATGATCATTGATAAAAGTACAAAAAGCATGTTGAAGAAAATCTAGCCCTTTTAACAAATGGTGCTAGGAAAACTGGATACACATATTTTTTTAAAAAAAAAAACTAAATCCAATCTCTCATCCCAAAGAAAAATCAACTCAAATTGGATCAAAGACCTAGGAATGAGACCCAAATCACTGCAACTGCTAGAAGAAAATATAGGGTGAACACTCCAACATATCCCTACAGGCACCAACTTCCTTAAAAAGACTCTTAAAGCTCAAGAGATAAAACAAAGACTGAACAAGTGGACATCAAATTAAAAAGCTTCTGCATAGCAAAAGAAAAAAGAACATGAAGAGAGAAGCTACAAAATGGGAGAAAAACTTTGCCAGATACTGTTTTGACAGGAGATTAATATCCAGAATATGTATAGAACTCAAAACAACTTATACTCATTTCAATTGAGGCAATAAAGGGCATTTAATAAAATTCAACATCTATTCATGATAAAAGCATTGAACAATGAAGACAATACAAAGAATGCCTCTCAACATAATAAAGACCATTTATAATAAGCAAATAGCTAACATTATATTGAATGGGGAAATGCTAAATGCTTTCACTTTAAGATTGGCAATAAGACAAGGATGCCCAATTCATCACTTTTATTCCCTAAAATCCTACTTACACAAATAAGTCAAGATAAAGAAAAAAGTAATGCCCAAATTTGAAAAGAAATCAAACCACTACTATGTGCAGATGACCATCTTATATATAGAAAACCCTCAAAACTACACCAAAAAAAACAATGAGAACTAATGAATAAATTCAACAAAGTTACAGGATACAAAATAATATCCAAAGTCAGTATAGTCGCTACATGTCAATGTCAAATTTTCTAAAAGATAAATCAAGAAAGCAATTCCATTAAGAACATGTACAAATAGAAATAAATAAAACACCCAGGAATTAATTCAATCCAAAGGGGTGAAAAATCTCTACAATTAAATTTATGAAACATTCACAAAAGTGATGATAATACCCCAAATTGGAAAGACAGTTCTTCTTCATGTATTAGAATAATCAATATTGCCAAAATGTTCATACCAATCAATCAGATTTACAAATTTAAAGCAATGTCTATCAAAATACTAACAACACTCTTCATAAAACTAGAAAAGTCAAATCTAAAAATTTTATGAAACTGCAAAAAAGGCCAAATAGCCCAAGTCATTTTCAGTAAAAAGAACAAAGCAGGAGTCATTATACTACCAAATATCAAAGCATACTACAAAGCAGTAGTAATGAAATGATATGGTATGGCATAAAAACAGACATATAAAAATGGAACAAAATAGACAGCCTAGAATTAAATTTACACATCTACAGACAATTGATTTTTGACGAAGATCTCAGAAAACACACTGGATTGAGGATGGCATTTTCAACAAAAGGTTTTGGGAAAAATAAGATAGACCCACTATATCTCACCACTTAAAAAGATAAACTCAAAATGGACTAAATATTTAAAGGCTTAAATGTAAGTCCCAAACTTATGAAACTACTAGAAGAAAACAGATGGAAAATATTTACAGAATATGGGTTTACTTCTAGGATCTTTATTCTGTTCCACTGTTCCATGTGTCTGTTTATATCTAATACAGTGCTTTTGCTTGAATAAGATTTCAAAAGTGCAGTAAATAAAATCATAGATAGACCAATAAGATTAAATAAACTTAAAAATACTCTACACATCAAAGGAACCAATCAACAGAGGGTGGGGACAACCTGTGTTATGGGAAGATATTATCAATATATACATTTAATAAAGGTTGGTACCCAGAATATACAAGAAACTCCAAAAATCTATAACAAAAAAATGAACAAATTTAACAATGGAAAATAAATCTCACATTACCTCTCTCTCTAAAAAAAAAAACACATTCAAATAGTCAATAGGTACATGAAAAATATGTTCAAAATCATTAGTCATCAGCGAAAGTCAAATCAAACTCAAAATAAGATATCCCATCCCAATAAGAATGAGTAATATAAAAAAAAAGAATAAAAGTAACAAGTGCTGGCAAGGATGTAGAGCAAAAGAAACACACAGTGTTGGTAGGGATATAACTTAGTATAGCCATTTTAGAAAACAGTATGGAAGTTCTTCAAAAATTAAAAACAGAACTACCATAATATTCAGCAATCCCACTAAATGAGTATATATACAAAGAAAATAAGATCAGTATGTTGAAGAGACATCTGCATTCCCACATACATTGATTCATTATTTTCAATCTCCAAGAAATGGAAACAACTTAAGTTCCAATCAACTGAGAAATGGTTAGAAATGTGGTACAAATGCACAATTGAATACTGTTCCACAAAAAAAAAAAATATTAAGCACTTTCATTTACAACAATATGGATGGAACTGGAGATCATTATATGAAGATAAATAAGTTAGAAATAAAAGGACAAGTACCACATGATCTCAACCATAGGTGAAATGTATGAAATCTTATAAAAGTTGTGAATAAAATGGTAGTTACCAAAAGCCAGCAAAAGTGTGTGTGTTTTACTGAGTACTGATAAATGGTTACTAAGATTCATTTAGATGGGATCAGGAAGCTCTGGAGTAATATTGTATAGTATGGTAATGACAGATGACATTATGTCCTATGAAGTCCAAAAAGCTAGATGAAAGGGTTGTGACAGTTTACACCACATGGAATTGATAAATGTTTTGGAAGATAAATATATTTAACTTTATTTAATGACAGTGATATTGACATAATAACAAAAATGAAGACCAGTGGAATAGAATAGAAGACAGAAACAAATACATCATCTGATCCTTAACAAAGTGCCAAAAGTAGTCGGGCATGGTGGCACAAGCCTGTAATCCTAGCAGCTTGGGAGGCTGAGGCAGAAGGATTGTGAGTTCAAAGCCAGCTTCAGCAATGTAACAAGGCTGCTAAGCAACTCAGTGTGACCCTGTCTCTAAATATTTTTTTTTAAAAAAGCTCAGTGCTTAAGTATCCCTGGGTACAAAAAGAAAGTATCAAAAATATATGTTGAAGAAAACAGAGACTTTTGAACAAATGGTGGTAGGAAACTGGATAGCTCTTTCTAGAAGAGTGAACCTGGAATGCCATTACCCTACAAAAAAAAAAATGTTAAGCCAAAGGGCATCAAACAGTTACGAATCAAGAGTAGAAACTGTTCAAGTGATATGAAAAAAAAAATGGCAGGAATGGAACTGAAGCCAGAATTAGACAGGCAGACAGTATAGATAGGTAAATCATGTCAGGTCAGATCAAGGAGGCCAATTTTGAGTGAGTCTGGGAAGTTGGAGACTGTCTCCAGAGGGATTGAAATATTATTTCCTTCAGAGCCCTTCCTCCACACTTATCAAGAATTTCCCCCTGCTCTAACCTATTGCTAAGGTAATCTGTCCCAGGAATTGCCCCCTCCTACAGGGAGCTATAAAGTTGATAATATGTACTGGGCTACTCCATTCAGCCCTTCCCCCTTCAGCCCACCAGTTTCTCACCTCTTGGC